GGCAGTCTACACGAGGATATCTGGCTGCGCCGCCCTCCTGGCTTCACTGGGTCGTTCCCTCCTCCTGGTACCCATTGGAGCCTCCGGCGGCCGGTCTACGGTCTCCGTCAAGCACCACGTGAGTGGCACGACACACTGAGGACTACACTTTCTGCTCTTGGGTTTGCTCCGTCGACTGCTGACCCGTCGTTATTTCTGCGCACCGACACTTCGCTGTCGCCGTTCTACATCATCGTGTACGTCGACGACTTGGTCTTTGCCACTGCTGACACTGAGGCTCTCGCTCTGGTGAAGTTGGAGCTGCAGAAGAGACACACGTGCACAGACCTGGGTGAGCTGCGCAGTTACCTTGGCTTGCAAATCACCCGGGACAGAGCACGCCGTACCATCACACTGACTCAGTCACACATGGTGCAGCAGGTCCTTCAGCACTTCGGCTTCACCTGGTCCTCGGCACAGGCCACTCCTCTGGCTACAGGTCACTCGCTCTCAGCTCCACCTTCGGACGAGTCCATAGAGCCGAGTGGTCCTTACCCAGAGCTAGTGGGCTGCCTCATGTACCTGATGACCTGCACTCGTCCTGGCCTTGCGTACCCTCGTGGCCTTCTGGCTCGCTACGTGGCTCCTGGTCGGCACCGAAAGGTGCACATGGATGCTGCTAAGAGGGTACTACGCTACTTGTGGAGTACATCGGGCATGGGGCTCGTGCTTGGAGGACGGAGCGACGTTGTCCTCACTGGGCACTCGGACGCTTCTTGGGTTGACGACAACGCTACGCAGCGGTCGTCACAGGGTTAAACCTTCAGCCTTGGCTCTGGTTCAGTTTCTTGGCATTCTACACGCTTGTCTTCAGTTCTCAGCTCGAGTTGTGAGGCTGAGATCTACGCCACAGCCATGGCTGCACAGGAGTTACGCTAGCTCACCTACCTGCTGACCGACCTGGGAGAGCGGCCTCGTTCTCCTCCAGTTCTGTACGTAGACAACAAGGCTGCCATTGCCTTGTGTCAGGAGCACAGACTGGAGCACAGAACGAAGCACATCGCTCTGCGTTAGTTTCTGGCTCGAGAGTTGCAGCAGCGGGGTCAGCTTCGCCTTGCTCACGTTGCCACTCGGGCCAATACTGCTGATATATTCACCAAGGCATTTCCGTTTGGTGACCATCAGCGCTTTTGTACTTTGTTGGGCCTTTTGCCTACGTGTCCACACTTGCTGTAGTCTCTGCTTGTAGTGTGATCTATGTATATATACACCTGCATGCTTGCTCTTGCTAGGTAGAGATCAATGTGCTGTTCTTGTTGTTTATATACCTCTGCATGTGGACTGGCCTTGTGGCCGTTTGCTTGTGCTTAGTGTGTGTGGTGACGTTGTGATCCACCCTGAGCTGTGTTTTGTTTTTTCTCTTGACTGGTCTTGTGACCATTGCTTGCTCTGGCTTTCCCTCATTTCGCCTATGGGGGTGTGTCAAAACATATGCATATTAGTATCTAGGCTATGTTGGGGCTAGCCTTAGGGGGTACAGAAACATTCTCAACACTCTAGTCTTGTACCCCAACCTTGATCTAATCGCACACAACTTCATGCCTAAGATTCTAAGAACGCGCCCCTTGTAATCATGCACGTACCTGGTTGCAGCTTCGGGGTGGGTGAGGTGGGGGGGTTTCCTAATCGCGCGGCAACCATTTTGTGGTGCTGTGCTGCTGCAACGTGCGTGCGTGGTGCAGCGCCAGAGAGTGATGTGGTTGCCCAAACAACCAATCAGGAGCGAAGATACCTTTGCGATAAGACAGCACTGAAGTGAACGTTCGGGAATGATGCCATTCCCGAATGCGTTGGCAAGGAATCTTGCCATTTCGGCGTGATTGATGGAGGCGGGGCACGAACCGGTATACCTAGACATCCGTTATTCAGGGCACTTACGCGAATCTCCATTTCAGGGATTTCAGCCCAACCCTTTGTTACAACTCTGACGAGACAGCGTACACGACTGGAAAGAAACTGATGTTTCAGCACTGACAGATGTTAAAAAACTGAACAATCAGCAAACACATAAACAAGAGGCGACAAGGTCGTCCTAGGGTTGCGAAGCTTGTTACGTAACTAACATTATACGGATCTAACAGCTAGTATGGATCTCCTTTCTAATGATTGCTCTACTTTTTATACCGAGTACATGTTTCTTGTTGATAGTAGCAAAACAAACCACGCGAGAATCAAAACCAGGACCTCTTGAGAATATTCGATCTCCTACCGACTGCGCCATCACAGATGTCTCAATTCTGAAACAAAAAATATATATCAAATAACAACGCGACGAAATGCTTCCTTCCATTAGGGTTTGTGTTCTTTTTTTCTCTCGCTGGTCACGCTGAGCACCCCACGTACCAGAGGAAGGTGAGAAGCATAAGTGCCTAAGCTCCCCCCTAACTACTCCCCATGCTCAACTACAACGAAGTTAGATGAGTCTTAGATAGACAAGCGTAGTAATCTAATACCTAACTGTGTAAAAATATGACTTATTATCTAGACTATGATGTTTAAGCTTAGGGCCCTTTGTAAAGACTTCGTAACTTTCTTGTATTTTTTTGGTTTCGTTTCTTCGTGCATAATCTGCCATCCGTTTCCTCTATCCACCGTCCTTACTTTTCCTTTTCGTCGGTTGCGTTTTTACCACCTCGTATTTTCATGTTTTCATTCTTTTTTTTCTCACACTCAGTTTAGAGCAGTCTTATCCAGAAACTGACGTGTTGTCGTTTCGTAAGGCCTAATTTTTATGTCGGTGCGTTGATTATCTTTAATGCATCTTATTGTTTTCCTTCACATGTGTGTTCACCTCTCTTCCCTCCCTTCCCTCTTCTCATTTATCTCCCTTTTACCGTTCTCTCTCGATTCTCCCTCCCTTCTTCTCTCTCTTCTTCATTTCCCCTTCTTTATCCTCTCACTACCGTCGTTTTGCTGGTGCAAGTCGCGCTGGTGTGTTTTTGCTGGTGCCAGGCGCGCACCACGCTCAGCGTCATGCGCATTATCCGCGTCGGCAGCAGCAAAGAAGGGCACGAGCATGTCGGCAGAACTTGGTGAGTTCAAACTGTGAAAGGGAGTGAGAGGGTAGTCATGTGCGAAAATACTATGTGATAAAGAATACCGGAGAGGCACAGATTGAGAGGGAGAGTGTGCGCGTATGAGGAAGAGAGTGCGAGGAGAAGAGAGCATGAGGAGAGTTGAGAAGAATGTGAAGGAGAGTATGAGTGCAAAATTAGTAGATGAAATCGACATTCTAACCTCTGCTCCTTTCCTTACCGACTTTGTTTCAATGAGAGAGCAAGGAAGAGATAGAGTGATTCTTTTTGTTTCATATTAGATCCTTTCCCCCTTTTGCCTTTTGCATGATATACTTCGTTCTTCCGTGTATGTTACTTTCTCCTTATCTTCCTCTTAACATTCTGTTCAACGTTTTTCCCAGAGGGACCATTTCGAGGTAGCTTGCTAGGCGAATTAGGGTATGAGGTCAATTCGTCCTAGTTTGGTCTGTTTTCGTTTATTTTGCTTCAATTTCTTGTGCCTATGTTATCCGCTTTTGTCTTCAATTTCCGTTCTTGTTTCTGGTTATTCCTGCATCTCGTCATTTCATCACACCTCATTTCCTTTTCTGTTTTTTTTTTTTTGTACCGACTATTTCTTTCGTTCCTCCTTTCTACATTCTAAACCCGTTTCTCAGGAGTCTTGCTGCTCAGGAAGGGGATTTGAATCTGGAAAATGTGTATCGGTCACTTTCAGGATTTATCTTGTCATATTGTCCATTTAATGTTGATTTGCATGTTATTTATTATCGCGTGTTTTGGCTGGGTTTGCTGTTGTTTGTGCTTTTGATTGTGTGAATGTGTTTGATTGTGAGTGCATTCATCTCATTGATCATTGCAATATTAATGCATGTCTGTCAATTTTAAAAAAGGGGTTCATTTCTATCATTTCTCATTGGTTCATTGGCGCACTCAGTGACTCGTGTGTTTGCCACTTCGAACTGGATTTGATAGTGTGAACCTCTTTTTTAGAGTTAACAGATTGCATTTTTTCATGTGTTGGTTTATTATTCAAAGACTTTGCTATTGACTTCCCCCCCATGCTAGGCAGGGGATGCGGTAGCCTAGTTTTTGGGTCGTTAACTATCACGCATTTGTATGACATCCCGTATGTTGCATTTCAGCATTTCGCTTCATGGAAAAGCATTTTCATCCATGTATCAGTATTATGCATCTATATATCTTGCCGCATTACATTCATTTAAGCATGCGTGGTATGTACTTCATTACTCATATTCGTAACATTTTTTACATGCAATTATCACAACAACGGCAAGCAGTAAAACATAAAACGCAAACAGTATAGCATATAGGCAAAAACCTACTATAATAAAAAAAGAAATTAATATATGCACAATGGGAAGGGTGTTACTGTAGCTTACGAATTTTATTTTCATGTTAAACAAAAAACATGAAAAGAAAATTTGTCAAAATCGATTGTAAAGGGTTGCTTCGCAACCCAAAAAAAAAACCGACACAGCAGCCACAATATTCCCACACCACTGAAATCAGCCTTTTTTCGCTGACTTCTGAGGGCCTGCTCCTTACCACCTGCAGCTGCCGGATTGGTAGTCGCTGGCTTATTCATGCCCCCTGCTTAGCGTTGTATTGTTTCAACAGTTCTCAAACAGCATGATTTCACCCACACTGGTGTAGCGTAGCTGCCAGTCAACCCACCCATAGAAATGCACCTGGGTGACAAATCAACTTCGGAATACATACCGTAATTGTAATGTGGAAATAATGGAGACAGTATACAAGAGTAAAATTCCTATACTCAGATGCAAGCAGCACGCTGAACAAATTCCTTTTGGCTCTTGGATGGCATTCCACCTTGCCTTCTTCACGTCCAGCAGCAGCATGCCCTCCCAGGAGGCTAGTAAAGGATACCCTTTATAGAGTACATGAGACACCCAATACAAGTGGCTAGTACGGATATTTGCCCTTGACAAGTCCCTTAGGCGAGTAGAAGCACGCCCAGAGCTGAGCCCCCGCACCAGCACAGGTATACGAAGCACATCCGACGGCTGTCGATGCCCGAGACACGATCTGGACGTAGTGCGAGCAGATCGAGCCCGCTGCACACCCGCCGTTCAGAGGCGAGTAGGTGTATCTCGACTTCTCCGCCACCCACGAGTTGACGACCATCCTGCCCGTCCATTGGCCGATGCCGATTGTCGTCATCAGGTTCTGGCCGTATGACAGGGCGCTGTTGCGGGTGGCTGTGCGGCAAGTGTTGTCTGTTGTGGCGAGCGAGGTGATCCAGGTCAGAGCCTCGGCCGCAACTGATTGGAAGAGATGGTAGTGCGGAGCGCAGAGATGGGAGAGGGGAGCGCAGCGTGGGAGAATTTTGGGTTGTAGGGTCGGGGGACACGCTAGGACAGGAGTAGCAAAACGTGGCAGAAGCAGTGGACGATGCAACATTGCCACAGGTAATTGGACCACAGAACTCGCTGTAGTCACACTCACGAGTGTCATTCCACGTCAGCGCCGGCACACCGACAGCAGCGCGGGCGGCGTTGTGTGGCTCCATGATATCCGAGTTGCCCACAGCCTCGCACTTCCTGTTCACCATGCGGTAACCCTCCGTGCAGTTACACACGCCTGCTCCATTCTCCACGTAGCAGTCTGAGTTGGGACCGCAGTTGAGCGGCGTGCAAACGTCTGGGAGGAGGAGACGGGGGCAGACGGGAAGATGAGTGGGAGAGGCGGGAAGGAAGAGGTGTGGGGAAGCGGAGGAAGTGTGAGGGGGGGAGGGGGGGAAAGGCGGAAGGGAGGGGAAGAGGAAATGGAAGTGGCGGGGGGGGGAGATGGAAGAAATGGGGTGCCAGCGCTGACTTACCGACGCATACACCTTTCTTCTCAGCGAGGCCCTTGTCGCAATAGCACTTGGCGCCCGCCCACTTGGTGTCCGACTCAAAATCAGAATTCTGTCAAGTGTGGGGTGTTAACAGCGACTTACCAACGCACACGCCGTTCTGCTCGGCGAATCCCTTGTTGCAATAGCACTTGGCGCCCGCCCACTTGGTCTCCAGGTGGCTGTTGGCCGGACACGTGTACAATTTGGTCAGGTCCTGCCCTGCTCGGTGGTTACCACGTAACAGCAACACAAAGGCAACAGCACAGCGTTGGGAGTTAGGAGTATTTATGAGGCGAGAAATTTTGTTCATGTAAGAGGGGAGGAACGGAATACAAGGAGAAGCTGCTACCGAGGCTTAATAACTCGTCACTTCCACAAGCCTGGAGTTTCGTGGGTACTCACAGTATAGGCAACTAACGGACTTGATTGGCGTCCGGATGAAGGGGAAGGGGCTGCAGGGGATGGGAAAGGAAGAGTAGGGCCGAGACAAAAAAGGAAAGTGATGGCAGCGGTGCGATACGACAATGAAAGAGGGGCACGCGAAAGCAGGTGCGAGCTGGCGAGAGAAGAGAGCGGCACGGGTGAGGCACGGTTCAATCGGCGCGCAAAGAGTGTTATTTGAGAATTCTAAAAAAACACGAGCTGGCGAGAGAAGAGAGCGGCACGGGTGAGGCACGGTTCAATCGGTGCGCAACGAGGAAGGAGGCACGAGTGCAGTCGGGGCGAGGCAAGGAAGAGGCACGGGTGCAATCAGTGTGCAGTGGACGTACTTCCGCATGCTGGGCAAGGGCGGGTTGCGGTCCGTGGGGCACGTCAGCTGCTGCACGCCGACATTGCAGTCGCGGCTCGAGTAGAATTGGAGCTGCAAGATCACAGCGACACGAAAGTTCAGTGAATAACGATGCGACATTTAAGTTAGCGATGCGACGACTGGGCCAGCAACGCGACGCGACTCAGACTGATATCGTTGCAACGAGAAAAAGAGTGCTCGTTCGAGGAAGCAAACATTCACCCTTCGAACGAACAGCGACATCACTCTCGCTGGGATTGCAAACTTCCGAGTCGCGAACGGACCTGCTGGCAAGTGACAAAGTACCTACCAATCGCTCTTCATCGCCTGCGTCGGCGACCAAAAAGCTCAGAAGGAACGGACCTGCTGGCACGTGACGAAGTACCAATCGGTCTTCATCGCCTGCGTCGGCGCGTACCACTCGATCCTGATCGAGCCGTAATACGTCGACGAGTAGTATTCCGGCGGGAAGTTTAGGCAGCCGTCTGTGGGGCTAGGAAGCCACGTTACCCACTTGGCCCCGGTGAGATTCGTCTGGTTCCACCACGTCATCTTCGTGGCGCACGGCGTGTCGCGGTTCGGGGTTCCATTGATCATGAGCGATCGGCGGTTTCTAGAAGCTGCAAGAGATGAAGTGTAGCAACAAAAAATCAATCATTAGCGATCGGATAAACACTCGAATGGTATCATGCCATCAGTCGCAATCATTAGCGATCATTATCATGGGCACAGAATCGCAAGAAGTTGGAGAATGTCAAGAAGGTTTGACGTAGCGACGAGATAAGAGAGCCGTACCTTGCGGGTGGTCCACCTGTGCTTCGGCGCGGAGAATTGGCGCCACGAAATTGGTGTCTTCAGCTGGCGTGGACGGGCAAGGTGCACGAACGAGAAAAGAATCGTTTTGAAACATGTTATGCGACGACGGAAAGGTGTGAGAGCTGCGAAGAAGGGAGAGTAAGTTGAGCGTGCTGTTCAGGGGTCACGACGAAGGCGACAAGGTGCATGCGAGATTGCTGGCTTACCTGGCGACGCATCTGCGACGAACGCCGCGAAGGATACGAGGAGGAAGAGAACGAGGATCCGAGCCATGCTGATAATCCGCAGTAGCCGTTCGCTGAGTTCAGAGGCCGATTAATAGCTGCTGTTGCGTGAAGCAAAGACTGCTTGAAATTGTGGCAGATGTTAAAACTTGGCCAAATCTATGAAGGTTCTGAGCTGACAGCAGCTCGAAAAAGTCGGAATTGATATAGTATGATTGCCTGTCGCAAATTTGTATGGGGGCTGTGCTGGATGCGTCCGTACGTACATGGAAATGTTGGGATAGGGGGGGTGGTGCAACGGAACACATGCGATGCGGCAATGCATGTTTGGGATGGTATGGGATGGATGGGATCCATGACATGAGCCGCGATGTGCGGCCCAGACATGCCATGACGAAACGAACGGGACGTGCGGTAACCACGTCGTCTTGTCGTAGAGTTAATGACGAAGCAGTTATGGTTCAACGACTGTCGTTTCAAGAAACCATGAGGCTGATGTTCGCGCGAGCCGCAGATGGTCCGGAATTCCCATCTCTGGAAACCGACGCCTTGACCTCCTCATCCGGGAAAGTCCCTCCGTCTATTTGGCAGAAATCCTGAGACCGACTTGATAGGGGGACCAGGAAATAGCAGACATCAGGTGGATAACGAATCTTGCGGAACCCTGAGAAGAGCGCAGTGGGTGTGGTTGTGTCACCGTACTTCGCGGCGCTTATCATCAGCGAGACAACTCACTAAAAGTTTCCCCGCTAATTGGGCATGAGGAAATCAAGAAGATGAAGACTTCACGAGTGGCTGAAAGGTGATTGAATACATTGACATATCTTATCAATGATACTGGTAATAAAAACATCCAACAAAATCAAAGTAGCCATCTGGTAACCTGCAATGAAAGAATGCTGAGTTGAGTTACGAGCTGATAACCAGCAGAAAAAACACCTCGAGGACGTAAACAAAATAAATTCAACAGCCCTTAATATATGATCTGGTACGCAGACACAAATCACGTAACATCAGCCGCATCATACGAGTTGAATCACGTAACATCAGCCATTTTCAGCCGCATCATACGAGTTGGACTTGTGCTTTGGGGTAAAGTTGAAGTTTGGCGGAGGAGGGCCCAAAAGCATTTCAGAAATCTTGACCTGATAAAAGCGCAGCAATAAATGAAACACGCACGAAGACAAAGAAATTGAACAGGATGGGAAACACAGGAACCCGAGGAGATGAGACCTAAGGCATGCAGAGCAGAGGCAAGCAGGCTGCAAGAGAATTGGCATTGCAAGGACGAGTGGGAGAGGTTGCAAGGGAAGAGCCAAGCTTGCAGCCAGCTGTACATGGCAACCACACTCTCAAGATGCACACAAGCAAGCCAGGAACAAGTGTCACACGGTTGTTTTAAACGTCCCAGGCCTACCAACCACCCCAGTTGTGGGGCTGGCCGGTTGAATCGAAGAACGACAATAGGTCGTTTACAGCTGTTAAAAGCAAGAGTGGGGAAGGAATGGGGATGGGAGGAGGGGGGGGGGGGGCGAAGAAGGCCGCTAGAAACGCAATGCAGGTAGCTCAGCCACTCCAGCAGGAAGCAGCACACTGCTATCTCATTCCCCCTTCTGCCCCTTTGATTGCCAGGGCCAGGAGGGCGTAAAAAGGAGGAAGGAAAGAGAAATACGACTCACCCAATCCTGGGGCTGGTCAGACCCATACAGCGTCTCAAGGTCATTCCTTCCTTCCATGGAAACCAGGCGGGCGCCAGTTGATGCGCTGAGGCAGCAGCTCCAGCAACCCCACGGGCACGTAGCGGTGCAGATAGCTCAGCCACTCCAGCAGGAAGCACCGCGTTGCTCTCTCCCTCCTCTCACTCCCCACTCACCCAGAATCCCCTCCCCCTCCCCTGTTCCCCAGGAGGGTGTGGAAGAAAAGCGTTACTCACCCAATCCTGGGGCTGGTCAGACCCAAACAGAGTCTCGAGGTCATTCCTGCCGTAGAAACCAGGAGGGCGCCAGTTGATGCGCTGAGGCAGCAGCTCCAGCAGCCCCACGGGCACGTAGCGGTGCAGATAGCTCAGCCACTCCAGCAGGAAGCGGCGGGTGGTTTCGACCCCGCGCGTGTCGGAGCCCCAGTGCAGCAGCCCGTAGCGCGTGAACGAGCGCAGCATGTCCAGCCGCTCCCCCGCTGATATGTCCCAATGGCGCTGCTCCGTTATCTCTGTTAGCAGCCAGGGCTGGGAGGGGGAAGGGGGGGTGGTGGGAGGGATTGAGGAAGATAGACAACAGAAGAGAATAGTGGAGGTAAAACAACAACCATTGACATTACACACAGCTTACTACAACAAAAACCACCTAAACGGCTTGCAGCACAACTCACCTTGATGAGCGCGCCGCGTGCCAGCATGCACGAGTCGACAGATGTCGCGCTGCCATTGGCCGTGTGCTCGTTCCAGTCGGTGTACGCCATCACATCTCCGTTGCCTATGAACTGGCGGTGAAGAGAGGGGAGGGAGGAGAGGCAGGAGGGGACAGGGGGGAAGAGAAGAGAGCGAGAATTGCTGAGACTTCTCCAGTCGATGTACGCCATCACGTCTCCGTTGCCTATGAACTGCTGATGGAGAAGAGAGGCCGGGGGAAGCAAGGGGAGGAGAGGGGGGAAGGAGGGGCCAGGGGATGAGGAGAACGCAGCAAATCCTGCTATGGCTTCTCCCAAACATCCATGTATGCCAGCCCATCGCCAATGCATGTAAACCACAGGAGGAAGGAGGGGAGGAAGGAAGACGAGTGGGGGGGTTGTGCTGGGGGAAGAGGGAGGACGACAGATGGCAATGTGGGAGTCCTTCGATTAAAAAAGGGTATGCTTTTTCAAGAGAAGAGTCACAAGAAAAAATGCATGCTATGCATGCCACTGACCTGTAGCCCTGCCGGCTTGACTGACCGGTAGCCCTGCCGGCTTGACTGACCTCTGTAGCCCTGCCGGCTTGACTGACCTGTAGCCCTGCCGGCTTGACTGACCTGTAGCCCTGCCGGCTTGACTGACCTGTAGCCCTGCCGGCTTGACTGACCTGTAGCCCTGCCGGCTTGACTGACCTGTAGCCCTGCCGGCTTGACTGACCTGTAGCCCTGCCAGCTTGACTGACCTGTAGCCCTGCCGGCTTGACTGACCGGTAGCCCTGCCGGCTTGACTGACCTCTGTAGCCCTGCCGGCTTGACTGACCTGTAGCCCTGCCGGCTTGACTGACCTGTAGCCCTGCCGGCTTGACTGATCTGTAGCCCTGCCGGCTTGACTGACCTGTAGCCCTGCCGGCTTGACTGACGCACACTCCCCGATGTACTCCCAGTCCGCCAGCCGGCTGTAGCGCTGCTGGCGCGTGCGGCCGTGCAGGGTCACGGCTGTAGCGCCCCAGTCCAACAGGTGCGGGATGTAGCGGTGCGCCACGTTGTGACCCTCGGCATATCCTGTGCGCATCTGTAGCAGTAACAATGTGGGGGAAGAAAGGAAGCATTGAACAGAATGAGGTCAGCAGGTGTAGATGCAGCTGGGAGGCAGGGGGTGTAGCGGTTGTGACCACGTTGTGGCTTCTGCTTACCCAGTTCGCATCTGTAGCAAAAGAGAGCAAAAGGGATGGAGACAGAAAGGAAGCAAGGAGCAGGATGAATCCAGCAGGTGCAGATGCAGTGGCGAGTCACGTTGTGGCCCTCTGCTTACCCCGTGCGTGCGCATCTGTGGCAGGAGAGAATGAGGCATAAAGGCATGGGAAGGGGTTGTGGAGCCATGAGCAATGAGATCAGGGGGGGGGGGGGGGGGGGGGGGGGGGCACAGCTGCAGCACGCCCCAATCTAGCAGGTGCGGAACAGGATGCTGCAGTGCATCACATTGTGGCCTCCTGCATTCGCTGCTCGGTTCACGTCTGTAGCATCCGTTCTGCGCCTCAGTTACAAACCTTGACGGCAAGCCCCTCCCCACCCACCCCCTCCCCCCCCCTTTCCCCCCCCACACACACATTTACGACAAGCACCCTCCCCCCTCCCCCCTCCCCCTCTCTCCCCCGACACACACACACACACACACGCGCGCGCGCGCACACACACACACACACACACACACACACACACACACACACACACACACACACACACACACACCTTGACAGTGAGAGGCACATCGATCGCGAGCGCAGTAGCTCTAATCACCTGCTCCAACCGCTGCGGCTTGCGCAGCAGAGACGACCCCGATCCCTGAGAGAGAGCGAGGGAGGGAAGGAGGGGAGGAGGGAGAATGGGAGGGGGGGTTGTGTGGTTGCCTTCACTTCACCACCTGCTCCAACCGCTGCGGCTTGCGCAGCAGAGACGACCCCGAGACTCTGATAGGGAAGGAGGAGGGTGATTGCTTGTGAACAAGGAATGGAGTAACCACCCATTATGAGAGACAGGGTGAATCTGGAGGAGGGTAACAGACACTGCTTCCAAGGAGGGGAGGCGCGGAGTGACTGGGGCTGCCAGTTGAGGAGGGGAGGAGAGGGGGTGTGGGGAGAGGGGGGGGAGGGGAGGGAGGGGTGAGAGAGAGAGGAATTAGCTTGTTGACGACTATGTCCATGATTCAGGTACCCAACTTTTAAACAATCCTTTGAATCGCCTCAAACAACAGAAAGCAAGGGGGGGGGGAGGGGGGGGAGGGTTTACCTTGTTGACGACTATGTCGATCGGGCACCCAATGTTCAGATCCACGAAATCAACCTGAGGGGAGAACAGAGAGGCAGTAGGGCAACAGACAAGCAGAACCAATGTTTTCGGAAACATGAAGACTTTGCACGAATGCACACTGAACGAACGAAACGTTTAGCAAAACAGTCCGTATCCCTTTTCCCACCTCCACTGCTATGGCTCTCACTGCTTCGCCACAAGTTCAGCTGCCTTAGGAAACGCATAGCTGCCCACGCCATATCAGGGTGCGTCCCACACAGCTGCCCTTCCAGCCTCCCACTCCACACCCCTCAGCACTTCTTTCCGCTTCCCTAGCTACCAATCCACTTGCGATAAATCGATTTCTGAGTCGAGTCAAAAATTGACTTCACCTCACCACCTCTTTCTGCCTCCTAGGCTACCAATCCACCTACCAATCCACCTACCAATCCACCTACCAATCCACCTACCAATCCACCCACCAATCCACCCACCAATCCACCCACCAATCCACCTACCAATCCACCTACCAATCCACCTACCAATCCACCTACCAATCCACCTACCAATCCACCTACCAATCCACCTACCAATCCACCTACCAATCCACCTACCAATCCACCTACCAATCCACCTACCAATCCACCTACCAATCCACCTACCAATCCACCTACCAATCCACCTACCAATCCACCTACCAATCCACCTACCAATCCACCTACCAATCCACCTACCAATCCACCTACCAATCCACCTCCATCCGCCCCCCTTAGGAAGCACCCCTGGGGCGCGCTTCTCCGCCTTAGGAAGCACCCCTGGGGCGCGCTTCTCCGCCACGGGTTCAGCAGCCCCGGCAACCATGTCAGGGTTGACTTTTGAGTCGACTCAAAAGCACACCTGGGCCGCGCTTCTCCGCCACGGTTCAGCAGCCCCGGCAACCATGTCAGGGTGCGGCCCACACAGCTGCCCACCCACTCTCCCATACTCGCATCAAATCCTCACTCGTCTGCCACGTTACGACCCACATCACTTCTTTCCCTCCCTGCAACCCACCTGGCAGTGTTCAGCCACGAGTTGAGCTGCTTTAGCAACCATGTCAGGGTGGGGCCCACACAGCTGCACTCCCACTCTCCCGATCGATCTACCATCCTCCTCAACTCCCTCCCTGCAACCCACCTGGCAGTGTTCAGCCACGAGTTGAGCTGCTTTAGCAACCATGTCAGGGTGCGGCCCGCACAGCTGCACGCCAAAGCACTTCTCGCTCTCATGCCGCCGCAGCAGCGCCCAATCAGACGCACCCGCATCTAACCTACCCCCCTCAAAACGCACCTGCGCAAGTCGAATGCACTGCACTCCCATCTTCTCCCCGCTCTAGATCGCACCTGACCCACTCCAACAGACCTCCATCTAACACCTTTGGGAAACCCACCTGGCAGTGCTCAGCCACGAGTTCAGCGGCCTTGGCAACCATATCAGGGTGCGGCCCACACTGCTGCACTCCCACTCTCCCCATCGATCTACCATCCTCACATCCTCCCTCCCTGCAACCCACCTGGCAGTGCTCAGCCACGAGTTCAGCGGCCTTGGCAACCATATCCGGGTGCGGCCCGCACAGCTGCACGCCAAAGCACTTCTCACTCTCGTGCCGCCGCAGCAGCGCCCATTCGGACGCCTGCCCCTGCAGCAGGTTACCACACATCGCCATCTCGCCCACTGTAACGTCCGCGCCGAACGAGCAGCACACGCGCCGGAAGGGTAAATTACCCACAGTGGTCAGAGGCGCGACGATGAGTTTACCCTTGAAATCCACGGGTTTTTTTCTCTCGGTGGGGCAGCTTCACCTCCTTATCATCCCCCACCCTTCCCTCTTCTTTTACACTAGCCCCTGTGTCTTTCCCAATTGCCTCTGCTGCTGCTACAGCTGCTTTCCCAACAGTCTCAGCCGCCGCTACAGCCGTGTCCTTCACAGCTGTAGCAGCTGCCGGTGCAGTCTCCTTGGCGGCTGTAGCTGCTGCTGCTAGCACGCCCTTCCGCCGCCCCTCCCTCTCAATCTCCGCCATCCCCCCTTCGTTTTCCCCATCGTCGTCCCCCTCATCCCCGTCGTCCCCCTGGTCCCCCTCCTCCTCGTTCTCGTCCAGGTCAGGCATGAGGCTGGCCTCCCCCTTTGGCTTCACCTTGCGCTGCCATACGGGAAAGGCGAGGTGAGAAGGGAAGAGAATGGGAGACAAAGAAGGGAAGTGAAGGAAATGGGTGGGAGATGGACGGTTCCCCGCGACCCCCTGGTCCCCCTCCTGCTCGTTCTCGTCCAGGTCAGGCATGAGGCTGGCCTCCCCCTTTGGCTTCACCTTGCGCTGCCATGAGAGAGAGACAGCGGGGAAGAGAGCGGGAAAAGAAGGGAATGAGAGGAAGAAGAGAAGGGTACTGAAGGGTTAAGAGAAGGGGAATTCACCCCTTGGGCATGATGATATGAGGCTGGGCTTTATGCTGCACCCCATTTTGAAAAAGAACTCAAAAACGATTATCAGCCCGTGATACTGGCATGTTTGAGCCCAGCCACCCACACACATCCCCCCACCGTCCAAATCTCACCGTCCATCCAATCCGCTGCAGCGAATCAACGGCTCTGGGGAAGTCCAGCTGTCGCTTCCACAGCTTCGATTGAAGCCCCTTCTCCAGCATGTTCACTTCCCCAGGGTATCTCACCTCACTCCCCTCCTCACTCCCCTTCTCACTTCCCTTCTCCCTCTCCTTTTCCCCCGCCTCCTTTCCCTTATTCTCACTCTCTGCCTCCCCCTCTTCCTCCCCTTTACTCTTCCCCTTCCCGCCGCCCTTCCCCTCCTCCTTCCCTCCACCCCCTTCCCCGCCCTCTCCTCCCCCGTCGCCGCTTCCTGGAAGCTTCCCGTGCTTCTCGTCCCGGAAACGACAAGCCAGGCCGAACGGGCAGGGGCGTCGGAGGGCAGCAAAGGGGCAGGTGCCGTCCAGGGTGGGCGGCAGCTGCGCGCGGATAATATCGAGGTCGTGGCTGAAGCGACACGTGGCACCAAACGGACACGAGGCCGGGTCGCCTGTACGCGCTACAGTGTTGCACGGCTGAGACGCCATGGCCTGGCGGGAAGCGGAGGAAGAAGGTGTGTGAAGGGGGCGGAAGCGGGAGAGGGGACGGGGGATGGGGGAGGGGTAGGGGTAGTGGGGAGGGAGAACAGGGGATAGGGGGGGGAGTGAGGAAGGAAAGGAGGGTGGATGGAGAGGGGAGGAAGTGAAGGAGGGAATAATTTCTGACCATACTGGTTCTGAAACCTCAGTTACAAAAGCCAATCTTAATTAACAACTTCCGGAGACTTTTGTCACAGAATCTTCTTCCAAAATTACCTGCTTTATGACTGCCTGCTATTCAAGTACCCGCTTTCTTCGTTGTATGCTTCAGTATAATTACCTGCTTCCGCTGCTTCTTCATCGCTCGATGGCTCAGCCTCTGCTCCTTCCCCCCACCACCCTTCCCCTTCCCGTCCTTCCCCCAACCACCCCCTCCCTTCTCCCCCGCCTTCCCCTGCCCGCCCTCGTCTCCCCCGCCCTCTTCCTTCCCCCCCGCCTCCCCATTCCCGCCCGCGGCGGCCAATGATTTTCTGCCACCTGGCGGCATCAGGAACTCCTTCTTCACGGGCGCCCGTCCCCGCGCAGCTTGCTCCTCCGCCGTCCCCCAGTCGCGCGCTTGAACCTCCCCGTTAGCAGCCTGAGGGGAAGAGAGAAAGGGGGGGGGGGGGGAAGGGTGAATTGTGGATTGACTCACAAAGCTCCTCCGCCGTTCCCCAGTCGCGCGCCTGAACCTCCCCGTTAGCAGCCTGAGGGTGGAAAAGAAAGGGTGACTTGTGAATCGACTCAAAATCTCTTCCATCCCCGAATCGCACAACTGAACCTTCCCGTCAGATGACTGCGAGGGGCAAAGAAAGGGGCAGTGAAAAAAAAAAAAGGGGGGGGGGGGGGGGGGGGGGGGGGGGGGGGAGGGGAAGGGTGGGGGGTGGGAGAGGAGAAGGGGGAGGGCAATGGTAGGAGGAAGGTGGGGTGTGGGGTGAAAGGGGGAAACAATGATAAAATCAAGGGATATCCGCGTCCCAGCGCAGAGCTACCGTTTCGCACCGTTCAAATTGCACGTATAGAGGAGACGTAGGGGGGAGGAGATCGAGAGACATGAAAGGAACACGTGAACGCAGTTGGAAGGGTTTTCGGCAACACTGTGGTCGTTTTTGAGGCGCCTAAAAAACGACCTCATTAACGCAGTTGGAAGGGTTTTCGGCAACACTGTCGATGGCGGTTAATGTTACGCGATAGCTATTGCGGAGACTCCTTTTAGGACTTGTAAAAAACTTGAAAAACAGCGCGTCAGAAAAAAAGGCTTCAGAGAAAAAGCTGTGAGCAACGACGACGAACAACTGAGGAACGACTGAAGCAGTCGCGGACGAGCGCAAATGGGAAACCTTGCGACCGGGAAAGCTTGAGACGGTAAAAGCTTGCAACGGAAGAAGCTCCCAACTGGGGAACCTTGATGCTCACACCCTTCCACCGTTCTGCGTATAGAATTCACCCAACCATCTCGCGAATGGCTTACCGCATCTTCCGGCGCAGCGGCGCCATTGGTCTGAACGGCCTCCTCCACAGCCGCCATGGTTGGGAACCGTCGATTTCTAAATGCTAATTGTTAGTTAAAACGCGCGTTAGCCGATCGGTCGAAGCAAAATTTGCTACTAGTTGTGAGACTGGAGCAGAATCAAGAGGTTTCTGCCAGGGGCTTGGTTTAGGGCTTGCCGCGATCGAGGGGACGAGGTTCCTTTGCATCCTCCTCAGGTCCCCACCACATGGTCCAGTGGCTTCAAGCTTCGGTTGGAAGGCCTCCGTTAGAAGGAATGACCTCCAGAGTAAACTGCCAGCTTTCCATTATTTCTATTGACTTATTCTCTGTCGAGGTGTTTTTTTTCAGAACGGGTTTTTTCGTCTAGAAACAATAGCTACTTGAATACATTGCAAACAAAAATATGTAATTTTTGTTTCCGCTTGGAGCATATATAAATAATGCTGGGAAAAATCCGCTTGGAAAATCTTGCAACATTTATTCCTTCAATGGACATGCAAATGAATCTAGCTTCAAATCCTAAACAAGGGCTATCCGCGATAATATGTCGCGCCTCCTCGATAATGTCCCGTCATCTAGATTATATGTCCTGTCCTGTTGTGCTGTGTCACGCAGATTTAGCTCTAAGCCCCCAGACAATGGCGCTTTGCTCGCTAGCACCCGCCACGTGTCACGCCACTCAAACGCCACTAGTGTCGAGGTCGCCCCAACCTTCGGTTTCCAGGCGAAGCGCGTCATCCCTATCTTCCCCACGAATTTCATTCTCTCGCCAATGTCGCCAGCAGCTTTCGCTACGACAATGGGCTGGGAGCAGAACTTCGGAAACCCGGAGGGCTGCTTCTGTCGTAGCGATGAGCGCGAGCCAATCGGACGCTGCCACGACAGCAGGTTCCCAGGCTAGCGATAGTGAGTGGCTGGAGGCGATGTGGCCAATACCCTAGGAGTGGCCACTCAGTGCGGAAAAGAGTGCGGGGAAGAGTGCGGGAAAGAGTGCGGGGAAGAGTGCGAGGAAGAGTGCGGGGGAGAGCGCGGGGAAGAGTGCGGGGAAGAGTGCGGGGAAGAGTGCGGGGGAGAGCGCGGGGAAGAGTGCTTGCGAGATAACACCCTTCTTATCGCCGAGCCGACTCCTACCGTTTGTCCTAGACTGCCTCGCTGCCATGGAACCCGCTAAGTACCAACTCGGCTCCCCTTCCACACACCCAGAGGACAAGGACGGCGCGCATATGCGGACTTCAAGGGCGTCGAATAACCCTCTTCGTGTCCAAGCGTAGGCACCATCCCCCACCCTCCCCCCTCGCCCACAGCCACGTGTGGTAAGTCGATTGTTGAGTCGACTCGAAAATCGTCTTCGGCACCACCACCCCCCACCCTCCCCCACCCTCCACCCTCCCCCCTCGCCTTCAGCTACGAGCCTGGCGTCATCGGCTGCACGCTGGACAAGGACCGCCGCCCGCGCGTATGCACACCTCAAGGGCATGGGCCCATGATATAACTGCTCGCCGCGAGGGTGGTACCCTCAGCAATGTTCACATGATCGCTATCCCCTCTCGCTCGCCCTCAGCTACAAGCCTGGCCAGCGACATCGGCTCCACGCGGGACAAGGACCGCGCGTATGCAGACCTCAAGGAGCTAACATCCTGAGTCTTTGCGAAACGTTATCATCCTATTACCGCAGAGGAACGAGACAGTCTGCTGCTACCACTACAACTATTATCAATCTCCCTCCCTCGCCCCTCTCCGTTCTCCCTTCTTTCCCTGCAATTCGCCTGTTGTATCCCCTCGTTCCCAGCTCCTGCTTCTGCATTTATCGGGTTGCACCATGTGGGGATATTGTGCGCGGATCTGGACAAGGCACTTGACTTTTACTGCGGCGTGCTGGGTGAGTGTGTGTGTGGGGGGTTCACTCCAAAGTCAAATGACTGTGCTTCTACTGCAGTGCCCTGGGTGAGTGTGTGGGGCGGGTTGACTCCAAAGTCAAATTTCTGTGCTTCTACTGCAGTGCGCTGGGTGAGTAGAAGAGCAGAGCATAGCAGTGAAAGTGTGACTGGTTAATGTAGAGCAGAGCAGAAGCAAATGTAGAGTAATTCAGAAAGTCTCTCAAAGACGGAAATGGCAGACAGAAACGAGTTCACCATTTGCTTCTACTCTAGAGCTATGGGCTGGGTGGGTGTGGTGGGACAACAGAGCAAGTTGCAGAGCCACGCAGGGACAACGAACATGCAATCAGCTGACATCTGAAAAGGGGTCAAGAATGGTGTGTGTATAGGGTATAGGATGTGCAAACCAGGGAGCGTGCGATGTAACTTTAACTTCCCCGCCTCCTCCTCTGCCTCCCTGTAACCTTCATCGGTTGCATTGCTTTCAACCCTGAAACAGGCCTGGAGGTGAATGATTCTCGGCCCAATCAGAAGCTTCCATATGGCGGCAAATGGTTGTGGATTGGTCAAGGGGAGGGCAGCAGGGGCGGCATGATCCACCTTATGGTGCTGCCGAATCCTGATCCGACATTTGGCAGACCGGAGCACGGCGGTCGGGACCGACACACGTGCATTGAGGTTGCTGATGTGGCACCACTACAGGCCGCCCTGGATAGAGCAGGTGACAAGCTGGCATGACTGGCATGGCACGGGATGGGATGCATTTATGCATGGCATTGAAGAGCATGCATTGCATGGGATGGGATGCATTGCATGGGATGGGATGCATTGCGTGGGATGGGATGCATTGCATGAGATGGGATGCATTGCGTGGGATGGGATGCATTGCATGGGATGGGATGCATTGCGTGGGATGGCATGCATGGCATGGGGTGAAATGGATGGCATGAGTTGGTCGTGCAGGAAGGTTGGGGAAGGGACAAAATGCGATAATCAGATGAGACAGTGAAGGGTGAAATGCGCTTTTGACAGCTAGCCTGTCATGCAGCACCTCTGTCTCCTTTCCCTTTATAAAAGTTGCTCATGGAGATCTCTTGGCCTCTGTTGTTGCTTGTTTCTCCTTATTGTGTGTTGTGCTTGTGGCCAACATGCAGGAATTCCTTACACTAAGAGCCAGTCAGGTCGGCCAGCTGTTTTCTGCCGTGATCCAGATGGGAATGCTTTGGAGTTTGCACAATTTTAGTTCGGAAAGTTGCATTTGCATCACAGAAACAATGACATGCGCACAATTGTGCTTCAGTGTACATGGAACCTTTTTTTGGTTCATTTTTCTCATCTTTAACCAGTAAACTTGACCCTGTTCCACAGTATCAAACTAGATTTGAAAGTGCCTACTTTCACACATATGCGCAATAACTGTTTTACTATTATCATATATTTTACAGTTGTTCATCCGCGATGAGCGTGATCAAACTTCGGGTTTGGTTGGAACCAAACCTAGGTCAATCTGTCAAACGCGCTGCGTTTCGACCAGCACCCAAGTGACTGGTTCGAAGTCTCCCTTTACAGTGAGGCTGACTTGTGGCTCGAAGAGGTTTGGAAGAGCGATATGGAGAACCACGTTGTCCGAGCCTCTTTGTTCGAAGGCATGGTTCCCTCAGTGCTGGCTCGAGACGGCCTGCTTTTCCAAGCCAAAGCTCAGCCAAACCTCCATTTTACACCCGAAACGCGCTTGGGCTCGATCAAAGGCTGGATTTGCCAATCGCGGTTCGGTGCCCCCTACTCCACCCCTCTTCCCAGCTTCAAATGTAGTTTTCAATAGTTCCCAGAAACAGCTATTGGTCGTTGAGGGACTTCCAGAAATCAGCAGCCAATGTGCGAAAGAATATTGCCTTTGCCGCAGGCTACCTGCCCAAAACAAACAAGTTACTGTATCACGGCAATGGCTCCTGCAAATTGGAAAGCTGAAGCTGGGGAATTTGTCCCGAATCGCGAATTGCATGGAACCCAAATTCGCCCCTATCGCCCCCTTTTCCACCCCTGTACCAACCCTTGTCCAAGATGTTGCCTGCCAGTTGATCTCATCACTGCTTCTTGTCCCACCGACCCAACACAACCAGCAACTTCATCTCGATCGGGCATTGCTCAACTGTCATACGGAAGTACCTCACTACCTGTTTGTGCCACGAAGCCAGTCACTCTTTCCAGTACATCGATCCTTCTTTTTACGAATCTGGTGTTAGGGGGGAATACTGCCCACCACTGCTCCATTTCCTTTTTTTTTTTCTTCGTCTGCCGAGAAGCGATCAGAGCTTTAGGAGATTTTGAGTTAAGGCCAATCTTCAATTAACGATTTTACATTCAAACCGTGCGACGAGCGTGGCTCCTCGTCCTTTGCACCACAAGATCGTTTCTTTTGCAGTTGTACTTCCAACGAAACGATGGGTACACGGCACCAAGCGGCACTATTAGATGACAGGCGGGGCGGGCGAAACCGATTTCGTTCACCCCTTCACCTTCCCATCATCGGCGCTTCTTTTCTCATTCTGGTGATTCTCACTTCGCCAAACACAGCAGCCGCTGGAGACGGGATGCTGTTTCCTTTCAACAGAACAGCGATTGCAGACCGACTCAGTAACCCGGCTGATGCGTTTCGCCAGGCTTTCGCAGAGAAGGAACTGTCGTTCGCACGCGAAACGGAAGCACACGACGAATGGGCTAGCGAAGCAGCGCAAGAATTCGGCCAAGGATTCTCTAATGTCACACGCGGTAAAGCGGAGAAGGGAAAGGAAACGGCTTTCGCGCAAGCCCACCGCAGATCGATGCGAGTGGTGCGGGGTAAACGCGGCTGCAGTCTCACGACGGGGTCGTGGGTGCTCGACAATAACCGACCCGCGTACGACGAGAGCACGTGTCCACACCTCAAGGTACGGAATCAGACCCTTGACAAACGAAATACGCTTTTTGAGGCGCATCCACGCGGCTGCAGTCTCACGACGGGGTCGTGGGTGCACGACAATAACCGACCCGCGTGATAAGAGCACGTTTTCACACCTCAAGGTATAGAGTCAGGCTCGGTACGAACCAAAAAGGTATAACACGAAGCACGGCGGCGCACAACCCCGCAGCGCACCGTTAATAGCTCCTCCCACCTCAAAGCCCTATCTCGAAGCCGTAACGTTTCTCTCTATCTCTCAACCTTTATGTCTCCCCATACCTCGTCTCCTCCCATCTCAAAGCCCCATTTCAAAGCCCTAACGTGCCTCTCTCTATCTCTCGAACTTTATGTCTCCCCATACCTCGTCTCCTCCCATCTTGCAGGAGGTCGCCACTACCACTAACTGCTTAGGCTCGCGTTATTCGCGGCCCGATCGCAACTGGATGGTGAGTGCAACTCAACGCGGTCAATCCGAGTCAGCCTGGCTGGGAACCTCCGTGCCAGCAACTCATGGAAGGCCCACGAATAGGAAGTTCAGTCTCCGTCTCAGCTGAATTGTTTATCACAGCAGTCGTTGCTCCGTTGCTGAATTGTGCCCCGTCTCAGCAACGTCTCTCCTCCCTTCGGTTCGGTCCCATCCTATTCCATCCCATCGCATTGCATCCCGTGCCGCCAGCGTTACTCGTGGAAGGCGCACGAGTGCGGCGCGCAGCCCCTTCGATTTGACGCGCGCAACTTTCTGGAGAAGATGCGAAACAAGTGAGCCCCCTTCTCCCCCCTGTCCCCACTCACCCCCGTTCGCCCGCAATCGCCCTCACTCGCCAACAACTGCCCCCATGCGTCCCCAGTGCCCCCATTCGCCCACATTCGTGCGCAATCGTTCCCCTTCTCTGGCTGTCTCCTGCAGTTGTCCGCTGTCGCACATAGCAGCTTGCCACTATCATCGAGCCTTGCAAAAGGCGCGCACGGGTTTTGGAATTCATCAGCATTCATAAGGCATCCATCAGCTAAAGCTCCCTCGAACGTACCGCGCATCATTTCAAGTATCCGCATTCGTCCCGTTACACCCCATCCCCGTTACAGGAACATCTTGTTCGCGGGAGATTCGCTAATGTGGGAGGGTTTCTTCCCGTCGTTCCTGTGCCAAGTGCACCGCGCGTCGCCCGCGCGCAAAGTGAACTACGACAGTCGCTTCAAGCAGACCACGTGGACGGTGGACGAATACAAAGTCACGCTCATCCACGTGTGGAGCCCCTTTCTCATGGACTTTAGTTCCGACTCCAAGGTACGGCATTCAGTCGCGTCGACATGCATCAACTAAGCACACCACTCTTTTGTACGCAACCCCTCTGTTTCTCCTCGTCCTCCCCCCATCACCGTGCCCCTCCCTTCCTTCCCCCTTCCTCGCTTCCTACTCCACCTCCTCCCTTTCCCCCGCCTCGCATTCTTCTCACCCAGGTACTTAAGAGGCTTAAGGTCCAGCACCCAGCGCTCGGTGACACTGCAGTGAACCTCTTTCAACCGGACCCCAACTGGACGCTGCTGCTGCCGCACGTGCACCTGGTGCTGCTGCAGTCTGCCACCCACTGGCCGAATGCAGACAAATGGCTCCGCCGCTTCTTCACCGACCGCAAGTGGCAGCTGCTGCCGCGCCAGCCTGACACCTTTGAGGCGTACTCGTGAGTGTGCTTGTAATGGTCGTGCTTGTAAGGGTGTGCTTGTAACTGGTGAGTTTGTAACGGGTGATTTCCTCTCCTTTCTCCACCTCTCCCTCCACCACCACCCATCCCAACCATTAGGGTGGCATGAATGCGGTGTGGCAGCGGTAGCTGCTCAGCCGCGACCCCTCCACTACATGCGCCTGGTAACCTAGACCCACCGCGCCCCACTCCTGTACACCCCTCCCCTACCTGCCACACCCCTCCTTTCATCCATCCAGGGGCGCAATGAACGCGGTGAGGGAGAGGCTCAGCCGAAAGCCCTCCACCCCTACACCCTTTTGACCGTACCCCACCGCACCCCACTCCCGTAAACCTCTCCTTTCATCCATCCAGGGGCGCAATGAACGCGGTGAGGGAGAGGCTCAGCCGCAAGCCGTCGAGCAAAGGCGGTCGCTACGTGGCCTACTTTCTCTCGGCGCCTCCCCGCCTGGCCGGCTGCCAGAACACCGTCTCTCTCAGCCCCCCGGCGCAGGTATGCATGGACGTGCGTATGCATGGACCTGCGTATGCATGGACTTGCGTATGCATGGACCTGCGTATGCATGGACCTGCGTATGCATGGACCTGCGTATGCATGGACCTGCGTATGCATGGACCTGCGTATGCATGGACCTGCGTATGCATGGACGTGCGTATGCATGGACGTGCGTATGCATGGACCTGCGTATGCATGGACCTGCGTATGCATGGACCTGCGTATGCATGGACCTGCGTATGCATGGACCTGCGTATGCATGGACCTGCGTATGCATGGACCTGCGTATGCATGGACCTGCGTATGCATGGACCTGCGTATGCATGGACCTGCGTATGCATGGACGTGGTAAGTGTATGAGTTGCAGTACTCGTTCCATGTATGTATGTATATGTGCATGCATGCCACGTGGCCTACTTCCTCTCGTCCTGTCTGGAAGGCTGCTGGTACACCGTCACTCCCAGCCCCCCAGGGCAGGGATATGGTATATACACTGTATGAATGAATGCAGGGATATGGTATATACACTGTATGAATGAATGCAGGGATATGGTATATACACTGTATGAATGAATGCAGGGATATGGTAGGGATATGGTATATACACTGTATGAATGAATGCAGGGATATGGTAGGGATATGGTATATACACTGTATGAATGAATGCAGGGATATGGTATATACACTGAATGAATGAATGCAGGGAAATGGTGTACACACTGTATGAATGAATGCGGTTGCTGGCCTGAATGGCCTGATTGGGCCGACGGCTTGGACTGGTTCGATTGATCTGATCCTGCTACCCTGTGCCTCATTCCCTCCTACACCCAGGTGGCTTACCTTCGCTCCAAGAACGCACAGAGCAAGATCTGGTTCCGCACGCAGAAGCAGCTTTTCGGGCGGCGGAACTCGCGTGTGCGACTCCTTGACATCACGCACCCGTCGCTCGCGCGTGCCGACGCCATGATTGGGTCGCAGGGCAAGGCTAGCAGGGACTGCCTGCACCCGTGCCTGCCCGGGCTGCCTGACAACTGGGTTGACTTGTTTTACGCTGCCTGGATGGCAGACAAAGGCTTCTGATGCCGTAGTGTAGCTTGAGACTAGACGAAAGTGTATTGTATGTCACAAAGATCTTTTCGGTAGCATACCTGTTCAGGTTGCACAGAGTAATGTAAGTTGAAGCTTTGTAGGACGGTGTGCCGACACCATGATTGGATCACAGGGCACAACGAGCATGGACTGCCTGCACCCGTGCCTGCCGGGTCTGCCAGACAACTGGGTTGACCTCTTTTATGCGGCTTGGATGGCTGACATGACAAAGGCTTCTGGTCTGATGGTATACGGTAGTCTTAGTAGACTAGAGGACAGTGTGATGTATGTGATAACGAGACAGATTATTACGGTACTGTATACCGGTATTACGGTATTCAGGTTGCACCGAGTGAAATAAAGTTTAGAATGAATCGCAAGGCAGGGCGAGCATGGACTGCCTGCATCCCTGCTTGCTGCGCCTGCCTGACAACTGGGTTGAGCTCTTCGTGCGGCTTGGCTTGCAGACAAAGGCTTCTGATTTTCGTACCATTCATGTATGGTAGACTGAAGGTAAGTGTAGATTTGTTTGTACGAGATAGTTGCAGTAACGTATTCAGGTTGCACAGTGAGTTGACTCACTACTTGGGTTGCAACAGGCCGGCAAAATTTGTCTCATTGGCTGTTGAATGCAGGATGGATCTGGCACCTCAGGTGGGTACAGTTGATGGCATGAATGGTCCAGCTGTTCATCACAGGCACAGCCCGATGCTAGGATAGGTTAGTATAGTAATAGTACATGGATAGGTTAGGGAGTCTGCAGTGAGGCGAGATGCTCGCTTAGTATACAAACATAGCAAGGATACAAGAAAGAATCAAATTACTATGGGAGCAGTTTTGTCACATATATCAATAACGAGAATCTACTGGACATACCTGTCCCTTCTAAGCAGCTTTGGGCAACACCCTGATTCCAACGTGCGGGGGAACCCTCCCTCGAGCTCGTCGACGCTTCGCCAACGCCCTCATGTAACTCGGGTTCATTTCCCTCGCGAGCTCGGGGGTCCAATGGCTCCTATCCATCGCCGCATTTCGCACGATTGGCTCATCAGCATTCTCGGTGGACTGGAGAACCACCAATTTGCTGCTCTCATCATCGTCCACAGCAGTCGCCATCACCGCGGTATCTCCAAAGCTGCCATCACTGGTACTCGTCACGCTGGCGACGGAAGCAGGATTCGTGTTTGACTTGCCCGGCTTGAACGTGTACGTGAGAATGCTTGTAATCGGTTTCTCCGCTGGCTTGGCAATGTTGAATAAATTCATGTACGACTGAAAATTCACCTGTTTCGGCCCGCCCAGCTTCGTCGGGCAGCTTCGAAACTGCGGAAACGCCTTCTTGATCGGCGATCCCTTGGTCAGGGCAAAATCCATCGCCTTGACGTTTTTGAACCCAGCTTTCGCCAGCGAAGTCGAGTAATACCGCAGCGTGTTCAGCTTCGGGACTGCCGGGAACGGCTTGCAGTTGTCCTGATAAAACACCCACTTGGTGGAATTATCGGTCATCGCCGTGACGATTTCCGCGTAATTCTCGGTTGGAAGGCCTGAGCAGCCACCGGTGACAGCAGCACCGTACTGGCTCCCCTGGTTGCAGTTGATGTTGTAAAGAGCTTTCTTGGCGCAGAAATTAGTGAGATAGGGAAAGAACTGTGAGGGAAAGGGGGGACGGGAGGGAGAGAATATGGGGGAGAGATTGAATCAACTGTCTGACAAGTCAATGCTGTTTAGGCACAGGAACCGGCGACGTAGGGGGAGAACTGGGACGGGAAAAGGGGAATTCGCAGGTGGAGGAAGTGGGAAGAGGGGGGATGAAGCTAGGGAGGGACACGAGATGCGAAGCTTAGACATGCAAAGAGCCTGCACTTGATGACACGTGGGGCAGCCTCAATGCACGTGGGGCAAGTTGATGGTTAGGCAGGGAAACACTGGGAGTATGGAAGATGGGTCAGGGAAGGGAAGAGTGCCTCTCTCTTACCTTCTTGATCCCCGGGGTCTGGTAGTTCTTGATCAGCTCGTCGTTCCACTTCTTGCCGTTGGGCTGGTTACAGTTGTTCACGTTGTAGTTCTGGCATGAGATGTACGCTGCTGAGAACGCCGACGCGTCAATCACCACCATGCCTTGTATGTGGTTGCTGTGGGGTGAACAGGGAGGTTGGAAAGGGGTGGGTGGGAGGGGGAAGAGAGCAAAGGAAGGGAAAAGGAGGGGGATGAGTTGGAGAAATTAGCACAGGGGGAGTTCACGTTGTAGTTCTGGCATGAGATGTATGCTGCTGAGAACGCTGACGCGGGGAAAAGGTGTGGTTGCTGTGGGGGGGAACAGGGGGGATTGGGGGAGGCGGGGGGGGGGAGGGGAGGGGTTGGGGAAAGGGAGGACGGGGAAGATAGAGGAAGCTAAGGAGGGAAACTGGAAGGGGGAGAGGAATTCTTGACCACCTTGGACTCACTACCTCCCACCATTGACCAACGCTGACCCACAAAACACCATCATTGACCAGCGTTGACCAGCGTTGACTCACTATTTCCCGGTGTTAAGCTTGAGGCCGTCAGCCGTCCGATCGCACACGAGCCCATCCACGATAACTCCAGACGACACCCAGTCGAGGTACAAGCAGTGCTCGCCTCTCCGCACATAGTTACACCGCAGGATATTCCCAGGGTTCACCCAGTGCGTGTCCATGTAAATCCCCGCCGAGTCGCCGAGCGTCGAGAACGTGTGCACCATGTTGTTCCGCATCACGTTACTCAGCATCGCGTCACCCACGTTCGACTGCCCGAACCCGATCTGCAGGCTCGCAAGCGAAAACTCCGAGATGCGGTTGTTAAACACGTTCACGCCCACCGCGTTTCGATACAGCATCAGCCCGATCTCCGCGCCTTTCCCGGACGGTCCCTGCGCGATCATGTTGTTGTTCGTTATAAGCACGTTGCTGCGGATGAGGTTTGGCCCGTCGCCGGACAGCATGACGACGATCGCGCCGGGGTAATCTAACGGGTGGACGTTAACGGTCATGGAGTCGATGCGCGTGTGCGACGCGCGGGATACTTCGATCCGGCCGAAGGTTCGTCCCTGCGTGACCTGGACCGCCCATACGCGATACAGCCAGATCGCGGGGCATTTCCACTTGCCGATGAAGTCAATGTAACGTGTTTCGAGATACTGGCAGTCGGGATTGGAAGCCAATGGTGCGAAACCTCTCACGTTGATGCCGTTAACGAGGATGTTGCTGGCGAAGACTATTCGCATGGGAGGGTAACTGGTGGTGGGAAAGGGATGGGACAGGCAGGGAGGTCGGGGACAAGGAGAGTAAATCGATTAGAAAAGTGTACTTATTTGTTGCCACTAGTGCTTTTAACGAGTTAGTGCTTTCTAGGGAGTTTGGGGACATCTCACTTCTTATCGGTGGCGGAGAGCGTGAATTTCTTGGTGCCTTTGGAGCGCAGCACGGTGCAGTTGAACTTGCCGTCCAGCACCAACGGATTCTTCACCTTCAAGTCCTTCGTCAGAAACATGCGCACTAGCTGGGATAGAGGGGAAAGGGGAAAGGGGAAGGCAGAAGGGGAAATGGGAAAAGGGGGAGACTTGAGAATTGTCTCTGGGTTCTTCAGTTTCATGTCCGGCGTCAGAAGCATGCGCACTAAATGTCGGTAGGGGGAAGGCGGAGGGCAACGGAGAAGGTGGAGGGACGGGGTTGGGTTGGGGAGCGGGGAAGCAGAGTTGGTGGAGGGGGGAGGGGGGGAAAAGGGTGGGGGAGGTTTACAGGTCGATGGCTGCCGTTAATAATACGCGCAACGAATGTGCCTGGGAAAGGGCGATGCCGGCGGGAAACGGGTTGGGAGGGAGAGGGGGGAGAAGGGAGACGGGGTGAGTGAGAAGCAAAATGGATAAGGGGGAATGGGGAAGGCGGTGCGGTGAGGCGCCTCACCACAAGCAGTAGAACTTTCATCGCAGCAGGAACGGGCTCCCTACTGTTTACCTCGCTGCCTCGCAGCAAAAACATGCGCGGGTCAGAAATGAACGTACCTGCGTGGCTGGGTATTTGGTTCGCTTGGCGAAGTCGGCCTCTGCTGCGATGTTGATCTCGGGAACCGGATTGCTCACTGTGCACGGCCCCGCGGTCACTGGAGCAGCGGCCCGGAAGGAGTGAGAGGCGGGGGGGGGGGGGGGGGGGGGGGAAGGCGGAGCAGCCGAGAGGGGAAACACGGGGAGAAGGAAAGCGAGTAAGATGACCCGTCACCGGACTCAGAGGAGATTTCCGGGACAGGTTGCATAACCTTCGCTGTTGGTACGTTCGCTGTTGATACTTGTATGCTCGCTTTGCGAGTTTCGCTATACATCGTTTCGCTACCGGAAGTTTGTTACATCGGGTGTTCGTTTGTGTACAAGGGTGCTGTATAGCTTTACTGTAGGAGAGCGTGGGGGGGCTGTACAGCGAAGACGTACCTTGTCGCACAGCGGCGGAGAGGAGAAGAGCGGAAAGGGCGTAGAGTGTGAGGAGCCATGCCATGTGCGACGCCATGGGGACTCTCGGACGCGGCGGCGACGAGCCTCCGTTTCTCATGCCGTACGGTCTAAGACACCAACTATCGCACTCGTCAGAATGATTCGAGAACCTTGTTTGAAAAGCAGTGGTCTGCTCAAAGACAGCAGTACTCGAGCATCAATAGGACTGCTTTTGGAAGCGGAACTCGGAAAAGACAAGCCCAAGGCGGCTGGAGATCACGGTAACTAAGTCGAGACGCAGCAAGATCGGGATTTCGTGGGGTTATTATCGTAGGACAAGGTGGAACACGGTAGGAATATATACGTACTACTCGCTTTTGGACAATTACTAGCACTGGACAAGGAGGTTGTTGAGAGTCCAGGCAGCCGACTGGGTGGGATGGTTCTGAGAAAACTGTTGATCGTGGTGGTGCTGAGAAAGTGCTGGTGATGTTGATTTAGATCACTGCAAAATATGGTTTAGAGCGGTGATGAGGTTCTGTAAAGGATGTGAATGCGGTGGGTGCTCTCAACAAGGCAACACTGGGAGGAGCGAGCGACGGTTGTGGCATTGGTTTGGCTTGCTGTCGGAAGAAAATGGAGGGGGGGGAGTGGGGGGGGGGAGGCTGACATGGTTTGCGAAACGGCCGTTGGGGCTGCGACAGCACCGTCGGGCCAGCGAGGTTGCCGAAATTCGTTTTGTGGTACGGTAGCGTCGCAATTCACGACAATGCAGATGGAATTCGTTGAACGGCGCACCCATACCGGCGGCGAACCCGCCCCGCGCTCTCCATGGTTGCGATGGAGGAACTTTCGCGAGGGTTCGGACCGCGAAACCGGGGAAACAGAATGCTCGCGGCACGGTGCAGTCACCACATTCGGGCCGCCGTGGAGGTAGGCTGGCTGGCTGGGCAGTGTGGTTGGAGGGGTTGCGCAAGCCCGCGCCAGCGCTTCTGCGATCGCCAGGGAAGTGCGTACAGCCATCCTGTCTGCTTTCGGTTCGGTCGGTTCTCCCAAACCAACCAACCCAACCAATCACCGGCACCATCATCAACGACCTGCCGTGGAAAGGGGTAGGCTTTACCCATCTCAGCAGCACATGAGATGTGACGATGGCGAAAACTTCACAAGCGTCGTGGGTGGCCGGCATTCCCCACGTTGCGAATTCTGAGTTCGGCAGCGTTCGGACCATCGCCGACAAATCGGGTTACGACAGAACATGTCCCCGCATGTGTGGAATCGTGCGGTGCTTCATTAATTCAACAACCCTACACGACAAGTCGTGAGGTTTAGCACGGGCAGTAAAGGTGGATGAATACAAAAACGACTTTTAGCGGCCGAAGGCAGACTTACAGGATAGACTCACTAACAATATAGACGCCAAACTCTGGCAAAACCATTTGACTTGGAGAGTCCGAGATCAGCTCGGTATAATTCTTGGAATTGGGTAACTACGGCTCGGACCAAGCTCGGCAAGGTGGAGAATTTTGGTGGAACAGACCAAACAATCAGAACCTAGAGATGGTTTGAAGCAAGGGGGGTACTCTCTACATTGACAGCCTCGGTAACGAAGGTCTTTATAACAGTGAGGCATAACGGTTACTACTGCTGATGTGCTTGCACTCATAAAACATTATAAAAAAAGGAAGTTAAGAGGCAGCGAAACCAATGGATGGACAGAACCTGAAACCTTGGAAATGGCTAGCAATAAATTTATTGGGATATTACAAATAATAAACGAATGATGGATATTCTTGTGTGGGTATGAAAAGTTTGGGTCTCAACGTTCCACCTTTTGCCGCCATGCTGCTTGGCGGCCACTGTGACGAGCATAGAACCTCAACCATTTTCGCATTGTCAGCATAAAATCAGGGCGGAGCTCCCGTTCCAGCTCCGCACTCCACTTGGTTGTAGCATATGGATTCGGTTGTAGCGTCACATCACCAGACACTTCCCCGCCTCCATAGACCGCAAGGCTTGATATGCTCCCGGGCTTTGCAATGGACGCAGGCTTGGCGGCGATCGGCTTCATGACTGGCATAGCGAGGTTGAAAAGGTTGAAATATGTAGCGTAGGACACGTTCTGCGGGCCAATCTCGTTCACCGGGCAGCTCCGAAAAGAAGAAAACTTTTTCAGAATTGGCGAAGCGGAAATCAGGCTGTAGTCACGGTTCTTCACGCTCTTGAACCCCGCAGCGCCAAGTTTCACGGGCAGGTAGGTCAGCTTGTTTAACTTGGGCACGGCGGTGAAAGGAGCGCAGTTGGAATGGATGATAACAAGGCGGGTGGAATTATCAGTCGTGGCTGTTACGATCTCGGCAATGTTTTCGGTGGGCAGCCCGGAACATCTGCCTGTGGCGGAAGGCCCGGGAGTGGACGAACTGCCTTCGTTGCAGTTGATTTTATTGATGGAGGTCTTTTTGCAGAAGTTGGTGAGGAATGGGAAGAGCTGGTGGGGAGGGGTGCAGGAGGGAGGAGGGGCAAGGTGGGGGGGGGGGGGAAGGAGCGAAAGGGCAGGGAGATAAGAGGAAAGCAATTGATGGTTGCAACTGATGGTTTTGATGGCAGTTTTAACAGTGGAGTTGACAAGGGAAGGGGAAAGCTGGTGGGGAAAGGGCTAGGGTGGAGGAAGGAGAGAAGAGGGAAAATTTGACAAAACAACCCTCCCTACACTCGGACTGAAGAAATATTGGAAGACATCAGCTCACTTTCTTGATCCCTGGCGTCTGGTAATAAGTGAGCAGGTCGTTGTTCCACCTGATTCCTTTTTAGGAATTCCGCTAAACCTCTGAGGCGTCACAGCGGCTCACCTTCTTGATCCCTGGCGTCTGGTAGTAGGTGAGCAGGTCGTTGTTCCACTTGATCCCGTTGGGCTTGTCGCAGTTGTTCACTCCGTAATTCTGGCACGAGATGTACCCTGCTAGCGGCTCCTTGCTGTCTATAATCACCATTCCGCGCACCTCGTTACTGGAACACACAAGGAGAGGGGTTAGAGCAAAGAGGTGCAGAGCGAAAACAGTGAGTCACAAACCCCTCTTGTAATAAGAGGTTGGTTATAAGTCAGAAGGGCGACGCCACCATTGGTGTCAATCGGTACAAGTGAAAGAGCTTCAACTTGCTTCTTCTTCCCTTGAGCCCACTTTGGCCCTTATACTCACTTCTTGCCCGTGTTAAGCTTCATCCCATCGGCAGTCTGCTCACACACGAGCCCATCCACGACCGTTCCAGACGACACCCAGTCGAGATACAAGCAGTGCCCGCCCCGCTGCACGTAGTTGCATCGGAGGACATTCCCGGGGTTTACCCAGTGCGTGTCGAGGTAAATACCCGCACTATCCCCCAGCTGCCCGAACCCGTGAACGATATCGTTTTTGGTGACCAGGGAGAGCATTGCGTCTCCCACGTTGCTCTGCCCCCACCCCAGCTGCAGGCTTGCAAGGGAGAAGTGCGATATGCGATTGCCGATGACGTCCACTCCCACTGCTCCCCGATATAGCATTATGCCAACACTGCAATGGGGAAGGGAGGGGAGTCAATAGGGAAGGTCAACAGGGAAGGGGGCAAGCTTGCGAGGGTGAATTGCAATTGCCGATGACGATGACAATGACGCCCATTGCTCCCTCATTTAGCTTGTTGGCGACACTGCAATAAAAAAAAGGAAAGGAGGGTTACATGTTGGAGATGAGATCACATCGCTGCTACAAATGCCCACGCTTTTCCTCCATATTGACTCACACGGCGCCCTGTCCGATGGCGCTCTCCGTGCGGACGTTGCTGTTGGAAATAACCACGTTGCTGTTGGAAATAACCACGTTGCTGTTGGAAATAACCACGTTGCTGTTGGAAATAACCACGTTGCTGTTGGAAATAACCACGTTGCTGCTTCACATGTGTACACCGCTCCACTGAACAGACCAAATGCAAACCCATCCCAGACCTCCCCAGATTGACTCACGCGGCGCCCTGCCCGATGGTGCCCTCCGTGAGGACGCTGTTGTTGGAAATAACCACGCTGCTGCTCCATACGCTCACATATCTGCACTGAAGTAACCAAAATCAGAACCAAAGCAGAGAGACTCACGCGGCGCCCTGCCCGATGGTGCCCTCCGTGCGGACGTTGTTGTTGGATATAACCACGTTACTCCGAATGAGGTTTGGCCCGTCCCCTGACAGCATCACCACAATGGCTCCGGGCTGGTTGGTGGCCTTCACGAGCACGTCCATTGAGTCGACCCGCGAGTGGTTCGCCCGTGCCACCTCCACCCGCCCGTACACGTTGCCCTGGATTCAAGAGGAGATGAGGAGGACAGGACCATCAGGGGGGTAGGATATGAAGAGGGTTGGAAGGTGAGGGTTGGAAGGTGAGGGTTGGAAGGTGAGGGGGATGGAAAGACGAGGAAGGGCAGATAGGATGGAGACGGGGATACAATGCAGCAGAGTGTTACAGTGGACGTGAGAGGGACTGAGAGCGTACCTGCACCACTTGTACACCCCACACTCGGTACAGCCACACAGCAGGGCAAGCGTATTTGCCGATGAAGTCGATATAGCGAGTCTCGAGATAATTGCAGTCCAGCTGCCCGACAGTCGAAACGGGCATCTTGAAATTCACTCCAATCACCAACACATTGTTGGTGTTGACGATTTTCGTTACCATGGTGCTGGAGGTGGGGAAAAGGGGTGAAAAGAAGCGGGTGAGGGGAAAGGGGCGAAGGAAAGGGAGAAAATATATTAGATGGGGAAAACAATGAGAAACAGCACATGGCGGCATGAGAAAGTGGAGAGAGAGGAAGAGTTGGTGGAGAGCAGTGGAGAGCTGGGAGCGGTGGAGAGCGGGGTGGAGAGTGGTGGAGAGCGGCGTAGAGAGCGGTAAAGAGCGGTGGAGAGTGGAGAGCGAGTGGAGAGCGGAGTAGAGAGCTGTGGAGAGCGGTGGAGAGGGGTGGAGAGAAGCAGCACATACTTGACGGAGGGCGACATGAGGTCAAAGGCGGGTCTGTGTCAGAGCGGAAGACGGTGCAGCTGAGCTTCGCATTAAAGAGCGAGAGTTGAGAAGGGGTGGAGAGCGGTGGAGAGAGGTGTCACATACTTGACAGAAGGTGAGATGAGGTCGAAGGCGCGGTCTATATCGGAGCGGAAGACGGTGCAGCTGAATTTCGCGTCCATCACAAAGGTGTCCGTCAGGTTTATGCTCGCCTTGAGTACCATCGTCACGTACTGCGAGTGCGCAAGGGACAGGGCATACGGGCGGTGGGGTTTGGGGTGTGAGTCGAGTCAAAGGTCTCTTAGCGTCCATCACGAACGTGTCCTCAGGTTTATGCTCGCCTTGAGTACCATCGTCATGCACTGCTTATGTTGGGGAGGGGAGGCGTACGGGTGCAGAGGAAACGAAGGAAAGCCGCGTTTGAGGAAGTCTCAGGGCTGAGCGGTCGCCTTGAGCGCGCCGTTGTCACGTACTGATGTTGGGGAGGGTAATCATAGGGAAGTGCTAACGTGCGGCGCGAAAACGTGCGGCGCGATAACGTGCGGCGCGAAAACGACGCGGAAGGGCGTCGAAGAAAATATAATCCGATTCTAAGGAACGGAAGGGAAGAGCGCGAGGGAGGGCGCAGGGGAGCACGCGCCGAGGAAGGGAAGGCGAACAGCGCGAGGCTCGCTGAGTTAAAAGTTCCAAGAGGCGCACCTGATTGGCGGGGTAGTTCTTTCGAAGGTAGAGGTCGGACTCGCGCGTCACGTTGATCAGCACTCGGGGGAGGAGGCACGGCGGCGCTGCGCGGAACGGGAAAGCGGCAGCACGTGCAGCGGGGAATACGGAGCAGCGGAGAGGAAACGATGCGGGGAGGGGGGAGGGATGGGTAACGTTATTGGAGAATGGATGGAAGGATGGAAGTATGGAATGTGAATGGAAATTTTTGCAAGACGCCGACACGAGGAGCAGCGGGAACGAATGGGAAGGGTATGTGAATACGCGTACCGGATTGTGACAGAGAGGCGAGAGAGAGAAGGGCCACAACGACGGCCAGCGCCGCCATTGGAAAGAGGCGGGCCTGCGATCAAGGCGAACAGCGGATTCGAAGGGGTGGTAGTCAGACTCGCGCGTATTGTAATCGTAAGCGTAACAGCTGGAAAAAACAGAATTGCCTGTCGAAAAGGAAAGGGTCTATCATTTTGGGTACTCTGCGGATGCGCCGTCCCGCGGGGCGCGTGGTGATCGACACACCTAACCCTCGCCGCGCGAAAATTGTAACGCACCGTCTCACGGAATCTCCGCATTCTGAAATGTCTCTTCAGGAAGCACGACAAGCTGGGCCGACGCGACAGCAGGTGTCACGTAACGTGATCCGCGCGTGGAGTGCTGTACGCTTGTAACTACAGGTCCCTTCAATCTTTCTGCTAGGGGGGTACTTGATCAGTTTACAGGGCGGTTCGGGGTTACCAGAAGCGGGTCATATCGAAGACACGGAACGACAGAGGAGCTAGTATCCGCGTCGAGAAAACGTTTAGGAGCCACTTGAATGAAGCAGAGATTTGAAGTTAGGAAAAGGTACATACAATAGTAGGTGTGCGCGAAGGGAACATAGAGCCAAGGGAGGGGGGATCTGGTACAGGAGAAGGGCATGTGCGAGGTGGGTGTGGGACAATACCATGGGTTGGTTCAGGTCGAGTGTTGGTCTGGTCTAGGAAGACATGGATGGGAGAATCGGAGGGCGGACGTGCTTTGTATTTATTCGAGGATGGGGCGGCGGCAGCTGGTGCTGATGCGAGGGAGAAGCGCCCGATGTCTCTGCATCAGGTGACTGCGAAACAGCGATGCGCACTCTCAGGGGACGGTGTTTGTCGACGAGCTCTGCGAAAATTGCCGCAGCCGTCAACTGTGATCACTCTGTGGTGAGTAAGCTGATGACGAAGACAGATGTTCATGTTACACTTAGAATCGTCGTTTCGCCAAGCACAGCGCGTCAGCAATGCTGCTCCGTTTCTGGCGGCTGGCAGGTTGATCGAAAACAGAACCAACCATGCACTTTGGCGTGACGCCATCGGAAGGATGACACCACCACCAACCAGGTCTCTTCTTTGTCCGAACATGGAGGATGACGGTCGAGAGAAGAAAGTACTGTAACTTATCGCACAACGTGTAGAAAGGACACGAATGCCGCCCTCTGATGAGGGTGTGCCTGGCTGGTGGTGTGCGGTGGTGACCTGCCACTCTGAATTTTGGTGTGGTGGTGAGGAGTTCAGGTCACCTGTCGAGCACAAGTCGTTGCCATGTTCCAGCTACAATGTGTACGCTTTTGAATATATTCAACTCGACCTCACGAGCATTACGTTACACCCATCATTTCCGTTTCAAACATCCTCTCCACTCTCCCACCACATCCACCACCTCACCGTATCCACCTTTTTCCTCGTGTATCCGCAGATTTTTCATGAACTTTTGTTAATTTTTTCTTGAGTTCCAGGATAAAAACTCGCAATTTGTGATGTCAGTGGATTGCACGCATGGAATATGTAATGCTTTCGCACCATGACGTATGTGCTGCTGGCTAGTCACCCCAATTTATTTGGTGTGGGGCGCTACAACTCTTTCATAAATCATGCATGCGAGGACATTGCTGGGCTGGTGGGTAAGGTATGGCTACCTAAAATAGCGAACTTTGATTGAAGACATACAACATGAATTAATAATTTATACAACAAATGGGATGGCATACTTGTAATTTACACCAATTACCACACATCCACACCTTCTGCGGGGGCGCCCGATTACGGCCAGGTTGCGGTGCATTGAATCTCATCCACTTCCGCATGGTCATCATGACTCCAAGCTGCATCTTTCTTTTCAGTCGACTCAAAAGTCATCTCATGCCTTCTGCAGGGGGGGTGGCTGGTGACCGGGGTGCCGTGCATTGAACCTCATCCACTCCCGCATGGTCACCATGAATCCAGGCCGCAGCTCTCGCTCTAGTTGCGGACTCCACTTGGTTGTAGCATACGGATTCGGCTGTAGCGTCACCTTCCCAGACACCTTCCCTCCACCATACCCCACATTGCTCGATGCGCTCCCATTCTTTCCGACCGATGCAGGCCGGGCAGCAATCGGCACCATCAATGGAACGTCACGATTGAAAAGGGCGAAGTATTCTGTATAAGGCACATTTTTCGGGCCAATGTCCTGCACCGGGCAGCCTCGAAAAGTTGGGAGCTTTGCCCAGATCTGCGAGCTGTCAAGAAGGCCAAAGTCTCGGTTCTCCACACTCCTGAAACCGGCAGCACTAAGTTTCACGGGCAGGTAGGTCAGCTTGTTTAGTTTTGGCATGGCCATGAAGGGATTGCAGTTGGAGTGGTGGATAACAAGGCGGGTGGAATTATCAGTGGTTGCTGTGACGATCTCGGCAATGTTTTCGGTGGGTAGCCCGGAACATCTGCCCGTAATGTTAGGTCCGGGAGTGGTTGAAGTGCCCTCATTGCAGTATATTCCGTTGATGGAGGTTTTGTTGCAGAATTTGGTGAGGAAGGGGAAGAGCTGGTGGGGAGGCATCCGGGAGGGAGGAAAAACGAAAGGTATAAAAGCACTGAAGAATAATTTTCATGAGCGCAAAACCCAAAGGCATAGCCCTTGTGAATGGGTCCAAACAACCCAAATTACTCATTCTAAAAAACAGTTGCAAGGTAGCTCACCTTCTTGATCCCTGGCGTCTGGTAGTAGGTGAGAAGGTCGTTGTTCCACCTGATCCCGTTGGGCTTGTTGCAGTTGTTCACTCCGTAGTTCTGGCACGAGATGTACCCCGCTAAAGGCTGCTTGCTGTCTATAACCACCATTCCACGAATTTCGTTACTGGAACAACACACGAGGGGCAGAGAACAGGTGGAATGGGATGGAATGAGGTGGAATGCGGTGGAATGAGGTGGAATGTGGCGGAGAGAGTGGAGCGTTGGAAAAGCAAGTGACAGAGTGCCCTTGTACTCACTTCTTCCCAGTGTTGAGCTTCAGTCCATCGGTTGTCTGATCGCACACGAGCCCATCCACAATCACTCCCGACGACACCCAGTCGAAGTACAAGCAGTGCCCGCCGCCCCGCACGTAGTTGCACCGGAGGACATTTCCGGGGTTTACCCAGTGCGTGTTGAAGTAAATACCCGCACTGTCCCCGAGCTGCCCGAAGCCGTGAACGAAGTCGTTCTGAGCAATGAGGGTGAGCATGGCGTCTCCCACGTTGCTCTGCCCCCACCCCAGCTGGATACTGTTGAGGGTGAAGTGTGATAGGCGGTTGCCAATGATATTCACGCCCACTGCTCCCCTGAACAGCATTATGCCAACACTGGAGTAAATGGGGGATGGATGGGATGGGAGAGAACAGAGGGCCACGAGGGTGAGCATGGCGTCTCCCACGTTTCTCTGCCCCAATCCCATCTGGATACTGTTGAGTGTGAAGTGTGATAGGCGGTTGCCAACAACATTCACGCCCACTGCTCCCCTGAACAGCATTATGCCAACACTGGAGTAAATGGGGGATGAATGGGACGGGAGAGAACAGAGGGCCACGAGGGTGAGCATGGCGTCACCCACGTTTCTCTGCCCCAATCCCATCTGGATACTGTTGAGGGTGAAGTATGATAGGCGGTTGCCAATGATATTCACGCCCACTGCTCCACGGAACAGCATTATGCCAACACTGGAGTGAATGTGGTGGTGGGCAGGGGAGGATAGAGGGCAAGAAACCAGAACTTCAAACATCTGGAAGCAGCACATTCTTGACTCTCCTGCACGTTTCACCGCTGCAACTTTGAAAAGATCACTCAAAAGTGAGAATTCTCAAATGGGACTCAAACGCATTGCTGCACATGGAAGCATAAGGTAGGTGACCTACACCCAGAACAGAAAATTGAGAGAAAAAAAAAGGAGCTGCTGTCCCGGATTTACTCACGTGGCGCCCTGGCCCATGGTGCCCTCTGTCCGGATGTTGTTGTTAGAAATAACCACCTCACTGCGGATGAGGTTGGGTCCGTCCCCTGACAGCATCACCACAATGGCTCCGGGCTGATTCGTTGCCTTCACGAGCACGTTCATCGAGTCGATCCGCGAGCGATTTGCTCTCGCCACCTCAACTCGCCCATACACGTTGCCCTGAAGAGGAGAGAGGAGGAGGAGGAGGAGGAGGAGGAGAGAGGAGAGAGGAGGAGGAGGAGAGAGGAGAGAGGAGGAGGAGTATTAAAAGCTATTCCTCGTTATCTGTAGCTCTTACGGCGCAGAGAAAAGGAAATGCAGTGGAGTGGCTGTAGAATGGGTGTGAAAGGGACTGAATGTACCTGCACCACTTGTACACCCCATACTCGGTACAGCCACACAGCAGGGCAAGCGTATTTGCCGATGTAGTCACGATAGCGCGTCTCAATGTAGTTACAGTCCAACTGCCTGACAGTCGAAACGGGCATCTTGAAATTTACCCCAATCACTAGCACATTGTTGGTGTTGACGATTTTCGTTACCATGGTGCTGTGAGGGGGGAAGGGGGGGTTGGACGGGGAGGGAGTGAGAGGGGAATGGGGTGTGAGGAAACTGGTAGGAGGAAGTGAGGAAAAGGGGGCGATGGAAAGGAGAGGAGAGAGAAGGGGAGATACGTTGGATGGGAGAATCAAAGGGAAGAAGCACGTGGGTATGAGACAATGGAGAGGGTGCTGGTTGGTGGAGAGTGTTGGAGAGCGGTGGAAAGAGTTGGAGAGAGGAAAGACATACTTACAGAAGGCGAGATGAGGTAAAAAACGTGGACCGTGCCAGAGCGGAACGCGGTGCAGGTAAACTTCGTGTTGGAGAGGGGTGGAAGTAGTAAAAAAGGTGTGGAGAGCGGTGGAGAGAGGCGGCACATACTTGACAGAAGGCGAGATGAGGTCAAAGCCGCGGTCTGTGGCGGAGCGGAAGACAGTGCAGCTGAACACTCAGAGCTGGTTCGGAGGCTTAAAAAGGGGTGGAGAAAGGTCGAGAGCGGTGGGGACTTACTTGACGGAGGGTGAGATGAGGTCAAAGCCGCGGTCTGTGGCAGAGCGGAAGACAGTGCAGCTGAACTTAGCGTCCATCACAAACGTGTCTGTCAGCTGTATGCTCGCCTGCAGCACCATCGTCACGTACTGGTTGGGACAGAGAAACAGGGACGTGCAAACCAGTGGGAAGGCAAAAAGGGGACGTGGTTCAGGATGCTCCCGTGCTGTATGAGTCGTGTTTTGAGTCGACTCAAAACAAGGGGGAAGGCAAAAAGGGGACGTGGTTCAGGATGCTCCCGTGCTGTATGAGTCGTGTTTTGTGTCGACTCAAAACAAGGGGGAAGGCAAAAAGGGGACGTGGTTCAGGATGCTCCCGTGCAGTATGAGTCATGTTTTGAGTCGACTCAAAACAAGGGGGAAGGCAGAAAGGGGACGTGGTTCAGGATGCTCCCGTGCTGTGTGCTCGCCTGCAGCACCATCGTGGTGTAGGGTGATTTTGGGAAATCTCAAACACACCCTACATCACCAAAGGGGAAGTGGTTCAGGATGCTTCCGTTCTGGATGCTCCGGCAGCACCATCGTCACGAACTGGTAAAGCAGGGAAGAGGAATGGCAAGGGGCAGGCAGAGGGGGGTTGGATTCGACGTAAGTGAACCGACTCCAAGTGTGTCTTGCTGTCTGCACCAACGCCTTCCGGAAGCCCTATTTTTGAGAATTCTCAAAAAACAGATTTAGCAAACGGGGGTTCGATTCAACGTAGGTGAGACGACTCCAAGTGTTACTTGCTGTCTGCACCACCAACGCCTTTCGGAAGTGTGCAGACAACCTTTTTGAAAGCGTTTTTTTGGCAAAAACCTTCTCCGTGGTGCACTAGTGGAGCAGGGGACAGGAACGGCAAGGGGAGGGCAAGAGAAGCGGCTCACACCCTGATTGGCGGGTCACCCGAGGGGCTCACCTAATTGGCGGGTCACTTGAGGGGCTAACGTGATTGGCGGGGCACCCGAGGGGCTCACCTGATTGGCGGGTCACTTGAGCGGCTCACCTGATTGGCGGGGTAGTTCTTTCGAAGGTAGAGGTGGGACTCGCGCGTTACGTTGATCGTCACTTGGGGGAGGAGGCACGGCGCTGCGCGGAGCCGGGGAAATGCGGGACGTGTGGCGGGGAACACGGAGCAGCGAAGGGGAGAAAGGAATAATATTTATCTTAAGCGGGTGATGTCAGGGAGAATTGAGGGTTCTCAATGACACCGCCGGAATGGGCCGGACATTGCGGCGACTCGGAAATAGGGGAACGCGATGCGGAAAGTTGCGAAACGGTGAAAATCCGCGGCAGCGGCCGCACGACGGCGATCCGGAGAGGGTGCGTGGAGGCGCGCACCTGATTGCGACAGAGAGACAAGAGAGAGAAGCGCCACGAGGACAGGCAGCGCCGCCATTGCCCGTGGAAATACGCGGGCCTGCGATGTCGCGTACGTAAGTATCGCGACGAAACATAACTTCCCGTCGGAACAAATAGAAAGAGACGTGAGTAGAACTTTGCGATTGGTATATTTTCGCGAAGCGAGAGGTATTTGTCGCGCCTAACCCTAGCCCTGCGAGAAATGTAACGCACCGTCTCACGGGAATTTTGCATCCCAAAATATCAGCGTACAACAATTTGTCTGGCGAAGATTTTCGTGATGATGAGAGAAATGCAAATTCAACGAGAAGGTCCAGGCGAGGACCGCGGTCTGGTTCGATTGAGTGGTTCAATGCAGATTCGAGGCGGACGTGCTTTGCATTTATTCCAGTTCGCGGCGGCCCAGGTGGCGGCGAAACGAATGCGAAGAGCCCGTTTGCCCTGCGTCAGGTGACTGTGAAACAGCGCGGCGCTCTCTCAAGGGACGGTGATTGTCGGCGAGGTCGGCGAACACTTTCGCATCCGTCAACTTACGTCATCGTGTCCAGCGAGAATTCTTTATTCGCGAAGCTCGTTCAGACTTCCTGGCTACATTGCTGTTTCTTCTCGGCGGCTGGCAGGTTGGTCGAGAACGAAAAAAAACCTGTACTTTTCCATGGCGCAACCTGGAGGTCAAATTTGTGGATGTGTTACGGGTGCAATGAATCGAGGTAGCGAGAATTGCACTAAGGTGTCAAACGAGTACAAAATGTGAGCGAAGGCATGAGCGAACATTTATACGCGAAACATGCAAAACGGTAACGCGGTGCGTGCGAGCTTGCTAGTGCTACGCTGGAGCGAGGCTCGGGCTAGTCCCGAAGCGTAGGCCGATACGGCCATGCCAGCAGTGCGAGGTTTGGCAAAACAGTGCGCGCGAAGTCGGCGAAGTTCCGTTAGCAGTAACGGGCGAACAATCGGCTGTTGCTGTACGCGATGTAGTCGGCTCCGTAAGGAATGCCGAGAAAATTCCTTACACTACCCCCCCCCCTTAAGAAGCCCCCTCCGCTACGCGAGTGCGTGTATATCGCGGAATCCCCGGCTTCTCAGGTACACTTGCAGGGCAGGGTGATTTTCGATGTTGCTAAGGGGCACCCAGCTATCTTCAGTTGGCGTGCGGTCCAGGGCCTCAGATATCAGGATAATTTATCCTGATTCTCCTGAATTCAGTATAGCTGTGGGGTCCCAGTCCTGGAAAAACAGCATAAGTGAAAAAGTTGTCCTGGAATTTCAGTATAGGTGGTAAGTTGCGTGCTGGAATTTCAGTATAGGCATGTAGGTTCAGCCCTGATGGTTCAGTGTAGTGTTGAGAGTCGTCCTGAATCTAGTATTGTGCCAATTTCGCCCGGGGCCGAGTGTACCCAACCACCGACCAGGTACTGCGTTACTTTTTTCGCCGTGATTGACGCCCTGACTTTGATGCCTCTGCTGGAAACCACGCCGCGCCAACCGTGGCAACCTGCATTGCTGTAATATCGACCAATGAGAGTGCGCCGCGCTCACTTTACACGATGAGGCCATCTTTGCTGTACGCAGGCATCACGTGCTTCCCTCCAGACTGTACACACTGTTTTCATCCACCCGAACCCGCATGCAGACACAAACCAACTATAGGTTCACGCGGGGTTGGTTTGGATGGCAAGGTTCAGGCAGGAATCTTTCTGATTCCCTCGAGCGCTCCTTCCTCTCCATCTTGCTGTTGAGTGCCTACCTAACCCCTGGCTCACTCCCAAGAATCTTTGTTTCCCCCGTGATTTTGCTAGCTCGTCGTAGGTTTGTCTCAGAGCACAATCGACCACTGCTGTTCGCCCATGGCTGACCCATCGCCGACGGGCGATGGTGAAGCACCCGCCATGCCTGACCCAACGGTCGGCCCAGTAGGGTTGACAGGCCTCGATTTCTTGCGCACCAGGCCCGTTCAGCCGCCGCCACCACCCACGGTAGATGTTGCCGCTGTCGCTGCTGCAACCATCCCTTCGCCGTCTCAGCCGCCCGTGCCTTCTCCCTCGACAGCAGCACCGGTCGTGGTTGATAACGAGCCTTTGCCTCCGCCGATTCGTACGCAGGGGGACTGCTCGAAGGCCGCTGGGACAACCCGGAAGGGACCTCCGAGCACGAAGGTCTCCGCGCAGCGATACCACCAGACGAAGTTGTCCTTCGTCCGTGCATCAGACAACACGACGGTGCTGTCCGTCTCCAGGCAAGATCCGGAACCCACTGTTCTTATTTAAACCGCCCCCACTGCTTCCTCTGACACCGAAATACCCGACATCGCTGAGGAGAAGTACCAGGAAGCTCTGCTCATGTTCAAGAGGAGGTGGAACGAAGACTTCCCGTGGCTTATCATTTGTCAAACCAAGTATGGTTTCCCTTCTATGAAGTGCACCGTGTGTATGGAGTATGCAGGCACAGGAACAAACTTCGGTAAAGGCGAGGGGGCACTGGATGTGCAGACGCAAGCCATGCAGCGACATCAGCGAACATCGAAGCACAAGGACGCTATTCGCAACCAGGAGCTGGCGTTGGCGAACGCAACCGGGCAGCATCGCATCCCCGACTGCCCGACGGCGCGTGACCTCGAGCATGATGCTGTGCAGTCGCTGCTGGACACGCTGTTGTTCATTACAAGGACCGACGCACCCATCGAGATGTGGGTGCAACTCGTACGGCACCTTGCTTCCCGCGGTACGCCAGGATTCCCGAAGAACGGCTACGGCGCTTATTATACAACGTAAGTGATGCCTCTGATTTTTAAAGTGACAACTTGGTTGCCGTAACGGTCGAAACTATCATGGCCTAACATACGGGTTTCCTAACTGTGTTTGCGCAGGTACGGGTTCCAGGAACTGGTGTCAGCTACAGCGACTTATCTTCGTGCGAAGCAACGCGAGTTCATAGACTCAAGCCCCTTCATTGGCTTGAGCTGTGATGAGAGCACCGACCGCGTGCGGGGGAAGCACATGATTGTCTTCGTCACGTTTTTGAGAGAACACGAGGTGACCACGGAATTTCTGACGCTCTTGACCGTGGAGAAATGTGACGCAGGATCACTGTATGCAGTGCTCGTCGGCTACCTCGACAGCATCAACGTGCCCCTAGGCAAGATCGCAGGGATCAGCACCGACGGCGCTCCAGTCATGCTCGGCGGCACCAACGGTCTCACTGGGCGGCTTCGACTCTGCATCCCGCACCTGGTTTCGTGCCACTGTATCGCACACAGGTGGGAATTTTACATAGCCTGTTTTATTTATGCGTTCGGACTGTCTGACGCCCTTGTTGCTTTGTGCCTGGCAGGGAGGCACTTGCCGCAAAGGACTCTGCTGAGGCCCTCCCGGAGCTCCAGATGGTTGACGTCCTCATCCGTGCTTTGGCGGAGCATCTCGGACGCAGCTCGACCTCGCATGCAACATTCAAGGAGATCCAGTCAGTCTTCACCCGGACAAACCTGGAGCTGCAAGGCATCCACGCCGTCCGCTGGTTAAGCCGTGGTGACGCGATTGCGCGGTTTGTGAAGGTGCTTCCGGCGGTGGTGGTCCTCCTCGAGCAGCTGGATAAAACCTGTTACCAAATGGTCACCAGCCTGAAGTTTCACTTTTACGTGTACTTCCTGGCGGATGTACACGTCGAGCTGAACATGCTCAACCTTCTCTTCCAACGGCGCGAGGTATTTGCCACACATTTTGCAAAAGCGAGGTCTCAAACGAACTGATACTTACCGTTCTTTTATGTCGTCTGTCCTCCCTGCCCCTCAACCCAATCACAGGTGGACTTGACGGCGGTTCACTCCCAGATGAGGCGCCTCGAGGTTTTCATCAGGGAGCGGTACATTGACTGTGGGCAGCAGTTCGGTGCTGGGTCGAGCGCACTGCTATCGCCGTTCCTCGCTCGACACGGTGCTGCATGCAGCAGGAGCATGAAAGTGCAGGGAGTGGACACCGACGGTGTGCCAAGGGAGCATGAGTTCACCCTGCACGAGGAGCCGATTCCTGGCTACGCGGAGGGCGTCGGTGACCTGCCGTCTTGCATTCGGACGTGCCGCTCGTTTGCGACGGAGCTGCTGTACAACCTCGACTTTCGGCTTGGCGACCTGTCGAACCTCAACGCCGCCAAGCTCTTCATGCCAAGGTCATGGCCGCGAGGAAAAGAGGCGAGGGACGCGGAGTGCAAGGGACACATGGAGAAGCTGGCGGTGATGTTCCATGCGCGCGACAGGGACGAGATCCTTCCTGGTGAGTTTCCGTGTCTGTTTACACACTTCACGTTGCAGTGTAAATTGCACCCTTGTGTGAATTGTAAATCGCAGTGTAGACTCCGCCAGGTAGCCGCCAAAGATGACCCGAAACCCTCGTGTATGGTTTTTTCTAACACCCCACCAAGCAGGTGTCAACAAGCGCGAAGTGCGGAAGGAGATGCGCACTTTCCTATCTGTGCTGTCCGGGGCGCCAAAGGAGGAGCAGCCGTTCCATGCTGGCTTGCGGGCGATATTGTAAACATCGGACTGGCAGCGGACCTATCCGAACCTGGTGCGGTTGTGGGCGGCCGTCGCGGTGTTGCCTCTCAGCACGGTGGAGTGCGAGCGCGGATTTTCGCGCCAAAACGTGATCAAGAGCTGGATCCGGACCAGCTTGCATGACGCGAAGCTGGCCGACCTCATGACGCTCAGCTTGTTAGACTACGACATGGTGTGGAGCGAAGTCGTGGCATTGTGGCGCAGCACCAGGAAGAGGCGACCCACCAAGCGAAAGGCAGCAACTGTGGATGTATCGAGGAGGAGTGGCACAGGGTTCCGGGGGTCACTAGCAGAGAAGCGTGACCACCATCACGCTGCTGAGGAGGGTGATGATGCTGTAGACAGTGGAAGGGACAATGCTGAAGACGATGCCTCTGAAGATGATCAGGTGGAGGCGGAGGATGATGATGAGGGGTACTGAAGTGCATGTTCAATATTTACCATAACAATGAGAACTTTCATAAGGGCTCTTAAGTCATTATTACTGTGCC